CTAAGAAATTCATTTCTTAGCAAAAAAGAAGATGGAAAATTGGTTTTCTCTTCTCCACTTGGATAATCAAATGAGGAAGAGAAGTTAGAATGAAATTCTCTACATCCACCTCCTTGATTCCACCTCATTTCCCCTCTATAAATACATGTCTCTTCTCCTCAATTAATAATACAATCTTAGAGGAAGAAAATCATAGCTTAGAGAAAAGAAAGAAAAAATATACTAGGCTGCCGAAGATTTTTTTCTGTAATATTTTGGGATTGGTTTGGCGAGTGAATTCTATATGATTGTAACAATTTTTCATATAGTGAAAAAGTTTTGACGGTCCATTTGTGCGTTATATTATTTATTTTTTCTTTGTTTCCTAATATTCACCTGAAGAACAAAAGATCTTGCGGGTAATAGAAAGAAAGGAAATTGGCTTAAATTTTCCAATTTCCCAACGGTAACGATACAAATTGTTGGATAGATGCGCAATTATTAGAATCTGTCTATATTTGAAGAGACACACTTGTTGGAAAGGACTTGTTCGAAAGACAAGATTTTATCGAAAAAGATGCCATTTTCAGTAAAAATATAATAAATTTTTTCGTCATTCTTTTTTACCTGGGTAATTAACTGAATATTTCACCATATTTTAGTTCAAATGTCCAACACTTTTCATGTTTTAAGCAGCTCACGTTTGACCTTTATAATGTTGATTTCTCTCCGAGATCACAATCACAACAAACCAACTAAGTCGAAAGAATGTCATGATCATGTTAAGAATGTCGAGCTTTAACAAACCAACTCTCATGCTCGACAGGCCGAGCTACAAGGACAGGATCATATCACCAAGGAAGGTACTGCCGTCATGTCGTCAATCCAGCGAGGTCATACATTAAAATAAGTTCTCCCTGACATAAGGTGAAATGATAAAACTCGAGTCAATTAAATACAAATGACACATCAATTTAGAAGCATCAAGCTCACGCTACTCAACTTGGTACGCACATAATTTGAACTCGTAACATAAAGATGGCCCACCAAGGATTTGCTGCAATTTTGTCCATAAATTAAGACACAAAAAGTTAACCAAGCTTCTATTTGGCAAATTAGATAAAGTAGATAAAAATAATATCGATGTAGGGGTAATTGCAGCAGAAGCTCCAAACATTTGAAACATTAGTAGACTTTCTCCAAACCTTTGATTTGTTACAGCCGTCACTCCAAACCTTCTCAACTATTGCATGTGAGTCCCTTTTGGATTATTTTCGTCCATTTTTTCGTCAGTTAATCAATTAAAAGGGGGCAAAATGGTAAATATCTATTAAAATAATTAAAATTGTTATCTGTCCCCTAAATGATAATTGCAACTAGAGGCTTGAAATTTAACAAATTTCATATGAAACCCCCGTCCCCACCATGTTCACCAAAGGGCTTAAACTCTTGGGGACCCCATCTATGTGGGATTATCTAACTTAATCTATAGTACGATAACTTTATTATGTGGCAATTAAGCCCACATATTCATTGCTTTTTTTGTTCTAATCTTTCCAAGTCATGACAAAATTTATATTCATCGTTCAATTTGTTAGATTCATCTATTGTACTCTTATAGAATCGTATAAGGTGGGTACGTGAAAGATATTATACTTTTATAAACTAGTTCAAATGGATCTAGTGAAACGTAAAAATATATAACGACACGAAAATGAAGTTTCAGACTGTTAATAATAGATAAGAAGTGACGCGACACTTTTATGTCAATTTAGAGAAATTTAGACAAAATAAAAGTGTTATAATTGTTGAAATTTGAATACAATAGAGACATGATTTATTGATATTTTAGTAGAGACGATCAATATTTTTCGTTGGGCTTTTACCCCCTTTATAGGCCAACAGATTTGAGCTTGCCGCCTTGGTCATGTGTATCCGACTTTGGCCTGTGTGTCACCGCTCTTTTTGGAAAGATTTGATTGGCTCGAGAATTTGGTGGAGGCAGAATTATCATTGATAGTCGTAGTGAGGTACCTTAAATCATTCATTACTTTTTTGTGTTTGATTGTTGAGCATTTTCAACCGTGTTATGATTATATTTACAGATAAAGTCTTCCATACCTGTGTGGGTGGAGGCTTTGGTTGACCTTCATTGCCGTCCTATTTAATCTAGATATAAAATAAAAATATATATATTTGATCAGCTCAAGATCGACCCCTAAACAATATTACATCGATTTTCAGATAAGAACCACACTCTTTATAGATCACATTGTAGTGTGAAATGGTTGATTCGTACAGACAATGGAATGCCGTGTATGGCACAGTACATTGACCAACAATGGAGAATATGAGGTATACTATACCAGAAAGTGAGTTTTCGAGTTGTTCAAGAAGTGCTGGCTCCCACATTTCGACCAACCAAAACGACTTTCAGTTTCACATGACAAAGAAATGAACACTGTAATTTAATTCTTAAAAATAAAAAAAATAAAAAAATCACAGCTCTTATGCTTGCTTAATTTTCATTTGACATGAAATCCTGAAATTAAGTAAACTTCTTGACTTTTCTGGTAATTTTTTCAATAATTAATCCATCCTTGTTTCGTTTTTCAACAATTGAAAAGTAAACGTTAATTCACGAGCTTAAATAAAATTAAGAAACCGGGGCCTCTCTACTAGCGATGTTTTAAAATATATTTAATACGTTCAATTACCCAAAAAAAAAAAGAGATTTGGTGATTTTCTCAATGATAATCACATCAGGTCTACTCATGTCACAATTAAAAAAAAAAATTAGTAATATTATTAACATATTAAAGCATGCAGTAAATTTGGAAGAAAATTGAGTACTAAAGACGGTTGTATCCAAAAGTTGAAGGGCATCTAGTCAAGTATTGTCCCACACAGGTTTGAAAAGAGGACAAATGGGTGTAGAAAGTGGAAAAGAATCACACAACATTAATACATAATTATATTCCTTAATTATTTTATGTTATTTGTCTCTATCCCATCAAACATGAAAATCAAGATTGTAGGGATTTACTCAATTTTCTCCAAAATTCCCATCATTTTCATCCAAATTACATGAATTTCTTAAGTCCTCTAGAACCTGAATTCATCATACTATACAAAGCCTCATTGGCATATGCAGTTTCTTGATTCTTATGTTTAGGAAATGAAAACAAAATTCCTATTTCAATTTCAATTTCTCATCTTATGTTTAACATTTCTTCTTTCATCAGCCATGGTTGTTGCATCAACAGGTTGCAACCAATCATGTGGTGGGAAGAAAGTTCTTTTTCCATTCGGATTCTCAACCGGGTGCCAAATCCGGCTGAATTGTGGCTTGAATGGCACCATGTTCATTAATGAGTTTCCGATACTATCTATTGACTCTGATACCATATTGATGAACCTCCCAGCCAAATGCAACCGATCCATTAATGCCCTCTTTAGTCTCTTCACCTCAAACTATGCTCCAACTTCGAGTAACGCGATTCTTCTGCGAAACTGCAGAGCCCCTCGAACTGCGTGTTACATCCCTAGAACACAGGTACAGACTAACTTCGAGCTGCCGGATTGCAATCCCAAGAATGAGAACATCAGCTGCTATTCTGAGACGAACATTCAGAGCATGTTCATCGACTTTCATAACTTGACAAAAAGCACCTGTCAGATCCTATTTTCAGCCATCTCAATGGAGTCATTAGCCAATACTTCTGTTTCTTTGGATGTTCAAATGGTTAGAATGGGGTGGTGGCTTCAAGGGGAATGCCACTGCTCCAACAATGCTAAATGCACTAATTTTTCGTCGCCTGTTGAACGAAAACCAGCATATCGGTGCGAATGCAACGAAGGTTTCACCGGTGATGGATACAAGGCCGGCTTGGGTTGCCGGAAAGGTAAAATTCGAGCTTTTTTGGTTTTTTTTTTACTTCATCTCTTCTTTTTCTTTTTGTGGGACATTTTTTCTAGTAATTAGTCAATCAGAAGATGATTTGTTTTCAAAACTTAATTGCGTGAAGTAATTACCATTGCTTCTTGGATGCCTAATAAAGAGTCCAACATCTTTCGAAAAGATACACCATGCATAAATTCAAAGTTTGACTAATTTTTTTCTCTCAAGGGCCACAGCAATAATGCAAAGTACAGAGTCATAGTTCTTGCAATTAATCACATTAACCAGACACGAAATTTCTCCTGGTTCAATAGTTTGTGTTCATATTCAAGCTGTTTGATAAAACTTTAATAAAATTTTACGTTAATCGAGAAAAAAACTAGTGCAAAAATGAAACTAGTTGTTAATATAGTAACATTAATTTGAGTTGGTCTGCAAATAATCATGTAAAAACCTTGGACATTAGTTATGCTGAGGTTTCCTCCACGAAACTACTTGTGAATTGTGGGGCCACAATATTATAATCATAGTCAGCATGATCGTGCTATTATAATTTGGTATTGTGTCGAGTCAATCTAATCCACTAGTCTAACCGGCCAAATTTTCTTACATCATTTGGTCGTGGGAACGAAATATATGCATTCTTAATCATTTTGTTTGATTAAAGAAAGAATAAGACGTGCTTAACAGTTGGTTAGCTCACCAAATAATGATAGAAATGGTAGGGACTCCGGACCCTCTATTTAAATTATCTTTTGTCAAAAAATATGTATAGTTTTGTTCTTTGTGACATGTAAAAGATACCGTTAGTAAATAATGATGTTAGTAATTATGTCCAAATTCAGCATGATACATATAAATATGAAGAGGTTTTCTCATGCTTGATATGAAAATCAAGAAATTATAAAGAAAACCGGGTTGATAATAAACCTCAAAAATTTTGAACCTAATTATGTTTGGATAATTCTGTCTGTGACAAGCCATCCTTGTGTTCAAGTATGTGGACTTGTCTGTTTTTATTATCCCTTTCGATGTCTGATCTTCAACTTCAGTATCAGTAGAAATATTTGATTATATGGTGAAAAAACAGATTCAGAGACATGCAATCCTGCAAAGTACTTATCAGGCAAGTGTGGAGGAACAACTAGAGTTGGTGCTTTAGTAGGAGGTAATAATATTTCTTTGTGCATAGTGATTCAGATTCTTTTTGTTGAAATCTGTGGTCTGATTAAGGAATTTTGCTTATGTAGGTGTTGCAGCAGGTGCTTCATTGATGGTCAGTTTAGGTCTCATATGTTGTTTCATTCGAAGAAGATCGAAATTGAGAATCAGTAGCAGAAAAAGACGCCAATTATGTGAAGAGACAGGGATTAGTATTCCTGTGTATCCTTACAAGGAAATGGAGAAAGCTACAGATTTCTTCTGTGAAGACCGAAGACTTGGAAATGGCGCTTATGGGACTGTGTATTCGGGAAAACTGCAAAGCGACGAATGGGTTGCAATCAAAAGGATCAAGCATAGAGACCCTGACAGTATTGAACAAGTAATCAATGAAATCAAGCTTCTGTCCTCAGTCAGTCACCCGAATCTTGTTCGACTCTTAGGTTGTTCGATAGAAAATGAAGAGCAGATTCTTGTTTATGAATATATGCCCAATGGGACTTTATCCCAGCATCTGCAAAGAGAAAAGGGCAATGGACTGCCCTGGCCGGTTCGTCTCACTATCGCTGCGGAAACCGCTCAAGCTATATCCTATCTACACAATGCTATGCACCCTCCTATTTATCACAGGGACATAAAATCCAGCAACATTCTCCTGGATTACAATTACAAATCAAAAGTTGCAGATTTTGGGCTTTCTAGACTAGGGTTGGTTGAATCATCCCATATCTCAACCGCGCCTCAAGGTACTCCGGGATATCTTGATCCTCAGTATCATCAGCATTTCCATTTGTCTGATAAAAGCGATGTCTATAGTCTGGGGGTTGTTCTTATTGAGATCATAACAGCCTTAAGAGTAGTGGATTTTAGTCGACCACAGAACGAGGTTAATTTAGCTGCTCTTGCTGTAGACTGCATTGGAAAAGGGCATTTGGAAGAGATTATCGACCCCTTACTTAAACAAAACGCAGATGCTTGGACTCTTTCATCAATACACAAGGTAGCTGAATTGGCATTCAGATGTCTTGCATTTCATAGGGACATGAGGCCTTCAATGATGGAAGTAGCCATTGAACTGGAACAAATTAGGCTCAGTAAGTTGGCGATCACAGAAGATTGCATCACAGCTTCATCAGAGGCATCCTCAAATTCATCTTCCTCCAATTTAAGTGAGAAACCACTGAATCTCACTGTTAAAAAGCATGACTTAGATAGCATAGGACTGTTTGGTAGCCAAGATTATTCTAGAGTATCCTCGCACAACTTGCCAAGTGAACAAAGCTCACCATCATCAAATAGTTTGCTAAATTATGCCATCCCTTAAAGCTGAGCAAGGTTCTTCCTTCATTTTGGTGATTGAACATCTGTATTACAATTCAGGGGTATATATTTTGGCTAGCTTTTAAAGAAGCAAGCAAGATATACAACTACTCAGCCAAATCCCCAAAATGGCACTCTATTTTTGTTTTAATACTGTCAAATTGTATCCAGTAGTGTGTTAATGTATAGTTCTCTCCATACATAACGATAAGACAGACTGAAGAATTCCTTTTCTTCCCAATATGTAATGATCCAAAGACTACCAGTGTTTGTCAACTATTTTCCTTTGATTACTGATCACTTGATCATGTTGTGATCATTTGTAAATTGTTAGCATAGAGGATAAGCTTCCAAGTTTGTGTCTTCTACTGGAAGCAAAATAGTCTCAATATTAAAAATGTTAACTTCTTTAATATATGTTCACAAACTCCATAATTGTGTCGAGCTTACATGACAGGATTGAACACATTTAAAACTAGGAGTTTTACTCCCAGTGGTGTAAAGCTGAGCCTAGGCAGCCTCTACTGAGATATCTCGAACAATCAGGGAAGACTAATGGTGAATATTTGATTCCTATTTTAACACTCACCCCCCGAGTTGGAGAGTGGATGTCAAGAACTCCCAACTTGCGAAGTTGAGAATGAAAAACAACTTGTCCCAGTGGTTTAGTGAATAAGCCTGCAATTTGTTTCCCCCTCTATAAAGACGGTTTAAAGTTCACAATTTTGTATAATTCTATCACGGACCGTATGAAGATCTACGTAAATTTGTTCATTCTCTAATGTAAAACAAGATTGGCCAAGATATAGATTTGTTGACTGATTGTCACTGATAGAATTAGGGTGTGATCCAAATTCTATTTGGAATGTTATTTGGAATACTATTCGAAGTTTATTTGGCAAATTTTAGTTGAAATTCTATTTGGAAGCTTAATTGGGAGTTGAAACTTGTATTGGACTTGAAAATGTCAAGATATGGATCGGGGAGAAGTTTTCGAAGCCTTTCGCTAGCTGGCCGCTAGATTACCGCTCGGACGACACCGTCGCCTAGCGCTCAAACGACGACTGGTCCAGCCTGGGCTCGTTTTTGCGTTTTGACGCATTTTGAGTATTGATTTCCAGCTATAACTTTATTTTTAGGGTTTTGGATGTCCTCTATATATATTTAGCTCTTCATTATATTTTAAATTAAGTTAGACAAAGTTGTAAATACAAAATCTTTGTATTCTTTCTCCATGTTTTATTGAAATCTTTTTTACTCTGCAAATTATTTTATCCTTGTGCTCTTATGATCAATTATTTCATATTGTGTCTATAATCTAGTATTTTTTTCAACAAATTGATATCAAAGCAATTCGATATCATCTTCATTTTCAACAGTCACAGAAAAGTTGAGCTGGCCCTGAATGAGACACTTGAAAATCTCACAATGCTATGGACATATGCTCGGACTCGACTGAAGATCAAGAGAGTCCAATGGAAGAAGCCAAGTATAGGTGATAAGTGTGTATATTTTCCATCTGTGATGAGTAGTGACTTGCTTAAGGTCTTGACTTGGCTTGTTGCTTATAAGTAATTCGTTCTTTTGGCTTTGTGTTGTAGGCGCCATGAATAATTCATAGAAAATTTCAAAGGAAAGCTACTCCACACCAGTGATAAGTTGGGGATTGGCAAAAAGGGTTCTTTGTTGACTTCAACGCTTCATCCACGAAATCACGTTGGAGGGGAGTTTTGTTATCCCTTTCTTTAGTTTATTTCCTTGCTTTTTAGAGCTATGAATTGGGACAATGTTGGTTAGAAGTCAAAATTATAAAAGCAAAAAAATGAAAATATTTGAAAAATTCAAAAAAAAAAAAAAANNNNAAAAAAAAAAAAAAAATTATGAGTAGAAGAATGAGAACGAAAAAATAATATGGCTCAAACAGGGGTTATAAGAATTTGAAGAAATATTTGGAATCGTCAAAGTCAAACTTCAAAAGGGTATTTTATCTGAAACTTTATATTTTCTCAATTGTTTTGTCATATTTGTAATGTATTGTATAAAATATTCTCATTTTTATCATTTATATAACATGTATTAAGTACTTTTATTGGAATTTATGGTTGAAGTTAACCTAACTTTAATTAATTTGAATATTCGTCTTTTAACGTTAAAATACTTATTTTCATGTGTATTTATTATTGTGTTGAATGTCTTTCATTTATTTGGCCATTAAATAATTGAGTTTAGTGATTTTTACATCGTTCGAGAGAAGATTGTGCATTTTAGACTAAATAGTAAATACCCTAAGTTTGTGTAGAGCGTAAATATATACACCTAACCCTAGATAACACATTGAGATATTTTCACAAAAATTTAATGTGATTTTTTTGGTTTTAATTGACATTGAAATATAGTATGTTAACCAATCAATTATGGTTAATTTCACTCGAGAGAAGTAATTAATTAAAATTGAAAAAATCGGGTTTAACATCGTAAATGAGTAATTTATTATTTCGCTTGTGGAGAAATTAATTAAGCGAAACCATGAATCACAACCACATTTTTCCTCCAAAATCCCCAAGTGTTTGTCTTCTTATTTTGTAGATTTTTAGTTAATTTTCCAAAATCAAATTTTATTTTGTGTTTATTTTTATTTTTAAAATTAAATTAACAAAAGTTGTATAATCGAAAGTAAATATTTCTCGTGGAATCGACAACTTGTACTCAAAAAGCTCACTTTATTACTTGAACGCGATCTGTACACTTACAATTTGCACTTTCATACTGACCAATGAGCATTGCAATAGCAACAAATAAATAAATAAAGTATTGCAGTCCCGAGCAAAGTTTCGGACACTAATTTGGGAGATCTGCATAGCTGTTTGATTTTGCCCAGTGAAAACTTGAAAGCTGATGTACACAAGTTTTCAAGATACTTCTCACATGTCTAGATAATTAGTTTTTGGCTCAATCCAATCAAATTTGAGTGAAAAAATAAATTAAAGAGTGTCAAACATGCACTAAGTTAGCCTCTTCTATATTTTTGCATGTGTTTGAGTCGATGAGTATAGGGTTTT